CCTCATGGATAACATTCTACCCCCTTAGAAAATATACTGGTCACATGGATAACATTATACCCGCCTGGGCAACATTCTGCCCTCATGGATAACATTCTACCCGCCTTGGCAACAGTCTGCCCTCATGGATAACATTCTACCCGCCTCGGCAACATTCTGGCCTCATGGATAACATTCTACCCGCTTAGGAAACATACTGGCCACATGGATAACATTCTACCCGCTTGGGCAACATTCTAGCCTCATGGATAACATTCTATCCGCTTAGGAAACATACTGGCCACATGGATAACATTCTACCCGTTTAGGAAACATTCTGGCCTCATGGATAACATTCTACCCGCCTGGGCAACACTCTGGCCTCATGGATAACATTCTACCCGCTTAGGAAACATACTGGCCACATGGATAACATTCTACCCGCTTAGGAAACATTTTGGCCTCATGGATAACATTCTACCCGCCTGGGTAACATTCTGGCCTTATGGATAACATTTTACCCGCTTAGGAAACATACTGGCCAAATGCATAACATTCTACCCGCTTAGGAAACATTCTGGCCTCATGGATAACATTCTACCCGCTTAGGAAACATTCTGGCCACATGGATAACATTCTACCCGCTTGGGAAACATGCTGGCCACATGGATAACATTCCACCCGCTTAGGAAACATTCTGGCCACATGGATAACATTTTACCCGCTTAGGAAACATTCTGGCCTCATGGATAACATTCTACCCGCCTGGGCAACATTCTGGCCTCATGGATAACATTCTACCCGCTTAGGAAACATTCTGGCCACATTGATAACATTCTACCCACTTAGGAAACATACTGGCCACATGGATAATATTCTACCCGCTTATGAAACGTTCTGGCCACATGGATAACATTCTACCCGCTTACGAAACATTCTGGCCACATGGATAACATTCTACCCGCCTGGGCAACATTCTGGCCTCATGGATAACATTCTACCCGCCTGGGCAACATTCTGGCCACAGGGATAACATTCTACCCGCTTAGGAAACATACTGGCCTCATGGATAACATTCTACCCGCCTGGGCAACGTTCTGGTCTCATGGATAACATTCTACCCGCTTAGGAAACATTCTGGCCGCATGGATAACATTCTACCCGCTTGGGAAACATTCTGGCCTCATGGATAACATTCTACCCGCCTGGGCAACATACTGGCCTCATGGATAACATTCTACCCGCCTGGGCAACATTCTGGCCTCATGGATAACATTCTACCCGCTTAGGAAACATTTTGGCCTCATGGATAACATTCTACCCGCCTGGGTAACATTCTGGCCTAATGGATAACATTCTACCCGCTTAGGAAAGATACTGGCCAAATGCATAACATTCTACCCGCTTAGGAAACATTCTGGCCTCATGGATAACATTCTACCCACCTGGGCAACATTCTGGCGTCATGGATAACATTCTACCCGCTTAGGAAACATTCTGGCCACATGGATAACATTCTACCCGCTTGGAAAACATGCTGGCCACATGGATAACATTCCACCCGCTTAGGAAACATTCTGGCCACATGGATAACATTCTACCCGCCTGGGCAACATTCTGGCCTCATGGATAACATTCTACCCGCCTGGGCAATATTCTGGCCACAGGGATAACATTCTACCCGCTTAGGAAACATACTGGCCTCATGGATAACATTCTACCCGCCTGGGCAAAGTTCTGGTCTCATGGATAACATTCTACCCGTTTAGGAAACATTCTGGCCGCATGGATAACATTCTACCCGCTTGGGAAACATTCTGGCCACATGGATAACATTCTACCCGCCTGGGCAACATACTGGCCTCATGGATAACATTCTACTGGCCTGGGCAACATTCTGGCTTCATGGATAACATTCTACCCGCTTAGGAAACATACTGGCCACATGGATAACATTCTACCCGCTTAGGAAACATTCTGGCCTCATGGATAACATTCTACCTGCCTGGGCAACATTCTGGCCTCATGGATAACATTCTACCCGCTTAGGAAACATTCTGGCCACATGAATAACATTCTACCCGCTTAGGAAACATACTGGCCACATGGATAACATTCTACCCGCTGAGGAAACATTCTGGCCACATGGATAACATTCTACCCGCTAAGGAAACATACTGCCCACATGGATAACATTCTACCCGCCTGGGCAACATTCTGGCCTCATGGATAACATTCTACCCGCTTAGGAAACATTCTGGCCACATGGATAACATTCTACCCGCTTAGGAAACATTCTGGCCTCATGGATAACATTCTAACCGCTTAGGATACATACTGGCCACATGGATAACATTTTACCCGCCTGGGCAACATTCTGGCCTCATGGAAAACATTCTACCCGCTTAGGAAACATGCTGGCCACATGGATAACATTCTACCCGCTTAGAAAACATTCTGGCCACATGGATAACATTCTACCCGCTTAGGAAACATTCTGGCCTCATGGATAACATTCTACCCGCCTGAGCAATATTCTGGCCTCATGGATAACATTCTACCCGCTTAGGAAACATTCTGGCCTCATGGATAACATTCTACCCGCCTGGGCAACATGATGGCCTCATGAATAACATTCTACCCGTTTAGGAAACATTCTGGCCGCATGGATAACATTCTACCCGCCTGGGCAACATTCTGGCCACATGGATAACATTCAACCCGCCTGGGCAACATTCTGGCCACATGGATAACATTCCACCTGCCAGGGCAACATTCTGGCCACATGGATAACATTCTACTCGCTTAGAAAACATTCTGGCCTCGTGGATAACATTCTACCCGCCTGGGCAACATTCTGGCCACATGGATAACATTCTACCCGCTTAGGAAACATTCTGGCCTCATGGATAACATTCTACCCGCTTAGGAAACATTCTGGCCACATGGAAAACATTCCACCCGCCTGGGCAACATTCTGGTCTCATGGATAACATTCCACCCGTCTGGGCAACATTCTGGCCACATGGATAACATTCCACCCGCCTGAGCAACATTCTGGCCACATGGATAATATTCCACCCGCTTAGGATACATTCTGTCCGCATGGATAACATTCCATCCGCCTGGGAAACATTCTGGCCACATGGATAACATTCCACCCGCCTGGGCAACATTCTGGTCACATGGATAATATTCCACCCGTCTGGGCAACATTCTGGCCACATGGATAACATTCTACCCGCTTAGATACATTCTGGCCGCATGGATAACATTCTATCCGCCTGGGCAACATTCTGGCCACATGGATAAAATTCTACCCGCTTAGGATACAATCTGTCCACATGGATAACATTCTA